AATGTCTGCAGTTAATGCGAGAACATGACTGAACACTGTAGAAGATAGAGCTAGCTGAAGGAATTTGACACATGCACTGGATATCCCTTCCTTGTACTTATCTAAGGAAGGCCAGAGGTCATGGACAGCAAAAGCTTTACATCCAATTTTGAGTTCATATCAGACTCCTAACTGTACCTGCTTATGACATTTAGAAAGGAAGTCTGCCTGCAAATCTTTAAAATGGGCACTGGCGACCTAACTGAAGTCATTGGGAAGTATCCTGAGGGATTTGGGAAGAGAAAAGGTGCCAGGGCCAAGATCTATATAGACCTAGAGGTCTGACTTAAATACTCGGGTACCCTATGCCCTTTGTGCCAAAGTAGAGGCTGAACTGGAATGTCTAGAGAAACATAGCCTAGTGTAATTTGCTGAATGAGCTGCATAGTAGTCCCAGTTGTAAAACCTAACAATTCAGCCCATCTCCTTGGGGATTATAAGTTAACAGTCAACAGAACTTCCTGTTTAGACAGATACCCTGTGCTATGCACAGAAGACTTGTATGCAAAGCTGGTGAGGAGTGGCATAATTTCTAAATTGGATATGAGGCACATCTACCTCCAAAATTGGACTTTGAGGTGTCACCCAGGAAGAATGTCTCTATAAATATTCACAAAGGACCATATGAGTACACTCACTTACACTTTGGGGTATCTTTTGCTTGTGTTAACTTTCAAAGGATGATGGAGAACATCCTCCAAGGTGGTCTATCTGGATGATGTTTTACTCTTTGGAGCTACTACAAAGGAGAGTTTGGAGGAGGTTTGCAGCATTTCTTTGCAGCTGACGTCCAGCTAAAGAGGGAAAAAATATGGGTCCCAGGTAAAAAAGGTAATGTACCTCAGGTACAGGGCTGACCAAGATGACTTACACCTTTTTGAACAGAAGGTGAATGCCATAAAAAGGGCTCAAACTCCAAGGAACAAAAGGGAGTTGGAGTTTTTTCTGGGTCTCATCGAATATTATGAGAAATTTATACCCAACCTGGAGGCACCCCTCCATGCCCTGTTAAAATCATTCAGAAATGGTTGTAGCAAATGACACAAGAGAAAGCCTTTGTAAACGTCAAATAACAGCTATTATCAACAAATATATTAGCTCATTATGCCCCCTAAAACCACTCATTGAAACCTGTGGCATCTCCATCTATGGGTTAGGGGCCTTATTATCACACCATTGGGGCAATGGAACAGAATGTCCAATTGCGCATGCATCATGAACCTCTGCGGAGGGAGAAGGGAAGCATGCCCAAAATGAGAAAGAAGGCTTGGCCATGATATTTGCAGTGAAAAAGTTCCAACAGTATGTCTACGGTTGGCATTTCACCATAGTAACTGATCACAAATCTCTGCTGGGCCTCTTCAAGGAAGACAAGGCAATTCCTCTCATTGCATCAGCCTAGATCTAATGATGAGCATTGGAACATCATCCAGGGAGACATATAGCCAATGAAGATGCCTTCAGCCGTCTGACACTACCCACCAGCCTTCATCTCCAAAGATGGATGAAGTCATCATGACTTTGAACTTCATGAACACTCTACCAGTATCTGCTGAGTAAATCCAGCCTTGGATTCAAAAGGGCCCTACATTGGTGAAGCTACATCCCATCGTCCTTAATGGTGGACCACAAGGATGTCCTATGAAAGAGTTGAAGCCTATATCTCAAAGCATCAGAAGTTAAGCACAGAAGGTGGCATTGTCTTATGGGGAGCCCAGGTGGTTGTCTCACATCCAGGACAGCGATCAATACCTCAAGAATTACACAATGGCCAACCAGGAATTACTAAAACAAGTATGCTTGCAAGTAGATAAGTTTGGTGGCCTGGCATGGAGACAGATATCAAAAACCTAGTTAAGCAGTGCAAAATCTTCCAGGAAAACCAGAAGGCCCCACCAGCAGCCTCACTGCACCCATGGCAATGGCCAGGGAGACCCTGAGTGTGAGTACATGCAGAATTCACAGAGCCATTTGTTGGATCTACATTCTTAATCCGTATCAATGGCCATTCAAAATGGATTGATGTGCACTAAATAGTCTCTACAACCTCTTACAACACCATGGAGAAACTCTGTCAAGCCTTTTATATACCTGAGGTCCTTGAAATAGACAATGGGACCCCAATTACCAGTGGGGAGTTTCAGACGTTTATGAAGGCAAACAGCGTAGGGCACATCCATACATCACCCTACCACCCGTCCTCAAACAGTCTAGCTGAGGGGACAGTCCAGCTATTAAATGTAACATGAGATTGCAAACTACAGGTATCTTTGGAAACAAAGCTTGCACATTGCCTCTCCAACTATGGGACAAATCTGCATATGATGATGGGAGTAGCCCCAGTGAAACTATTGATGGGCTGAGACCTTTGGACTAGGCTTAGCCTGACTTTCCTAAACTTGGGCGGCAAATTTGAACCAAAACAAGAAGCCCAGAAAAGGGGTCATGATGAGCAAAAGCCAGACGGAGATTTTCAACTAGAGTTATGGTCTACGCAACAAACTGCAGTGATGATTTTCCATGGATTCCAGGAATTGTCCTTAAACAAAGTGGACAGGCATCATATTTGGTTATAACTGGGGAAAAGACTGCAAAATAGCATATTGACCACCTCTGTCAGAGGGAAGCCTTCATAGAAGTGATTGTTGCAACAGGCACACCATCATCAGTATCCTGCAGACATAAATCTCCATCCACTAAAAGCTCGAGAGCCAACCCTGAGGACTATGAGGACTCAGACTCAGAGTCAAAGGCAGTGCAAGCTCAGTTGGAGGTCACCACCAAGGGTGAGCCTCTTGCAGTTGCTCTGGGATGGTCTTCACAAAGGAGACGTCCAACTCCGACCAGATCCAGAAAGCGACAGGAATGGGGCCATGGGCAGAGCAATGTAAGAGGCCCATCATCACAGGAGTGAGGGAAAACCCTTAGACTCCAAGAGGGAGAAATGTGATAACCCCTACAAGGCCCATGGAGAATCATGAGTTAATCCACTCGTGGAACTCACTGAGTATGAGTTCCCTTGGTAACAGGCAATGTCCAAGTGGAACTCATCACCTGAGCCCTTTATAAAGCAGACCCAATCCCCTTCCAACTCCATTTTGATTTGGCTCCTTCCTACTCTTCCCATCCTCCCTTCACTTTTGATAGTTTACCTTGCTTATAATGGGCTTTGCATATGAATATTTAAGTGGCTGTAGATGTGTTTTACTGGTGGCTGTTAGTATTTCAAAAAAGCAAGTCACAGTTATTTGATGGTGGGAAAGTTGCTCAGTTGCGTGTGATAGCACGTCTCGGTATAGAAAAATGAAATAAGGCAAACCCAAGGATGGGATTGCAGAACTATCTGTCCCAAGCTGGGTCTAGCCTATTTATAGGCTACAAGTAGTGGCTCTATTTTGGTGTTCAACAATAAATGTTGTTCCTTTCCAGATGGACTTCCTGAGTTATTACAGTGTTCTTCATGTCAACAGTCAAAATCTGATTGTTTGTGGATATGGAATAAGGACAGAACTGGGCTTGGATATGATGCCTTCACGGTCAAATATCAGCCAACATCAGTGACTGACAGTAAAGAATTAGCTGTAGATCAGAGTGCTCCCAAGTTAGATCTGCACCAAGGAAGGTGTGGGCGCTTTCAGGAAAAGGAGATGCGAGAGCAGAAAAGAAACAGAAAGCAAAAAAGAGGAATTGAAAATTAGAAGTAAAACTTCAATATTAACATCACAAAGTGTTTATTATGTTATAGGATTTTTGTCACAAATTTAACTAGTAAGTCTCACTAACATACACTCGTTCGCATAAGCAGAGCAATCACTTAGGAACACACCCTGAAATTACAATTACATATCACCTTACAGCGGCTCCTTTTCCTATTATGACTTAGGTATTGAAGGGGAGATTTCTAAATGGATTGTTCATAATTTAAGGTCTTAATCCGAATTTAATGAGAGAGAATTTATTTTTTGCCCTTTTTTAAGAAATCCTATCCTTCTTCTGGACCCTAGTGCCTTGCAACTTCAATAGAGCCACCTCATAACTTTTCCTTGAGTGATTCCTTCCCTTTGTTAGTTGTTTAGCTTCCATGTTTGTCACTTAATAGTCCAGCTAAGACAAGGAGCGTCAGAAGAAATCTGTGAATGCTGAAAATCCTCAATGGATCAGGCAGCACGTCTGGACAGAGAAACATAATTAACATTTCACAATGACCTTTTCCACATTGGTCTAGAGTTAGAGGGTGCATTTGGGGAATGTATGTTAATGTGTTTGAAGCTGTGTGTGAGTATGTGTGCGGCTATGAATGTATGCTGATTGCGTGTATGTGTTGGGTCAACATGTATGCGAGTAGGTATATATGTGAGGTTCACATGTTGGTGTGCATGTGTGTTTCTGCTGGGTGTATGTGCACTCTGCCTACATGTGTGCTGCATAGCTGCTGGGTGCTTGTGTGGACTGGATATGCTGTGTATGTGTATTTGCATTGGTGTGTGTGCACCGTGGTGTGTACGTGCTGAGCTGTGTGCATACTGTGGTGTGCATGTGTACACACTCTGGTGGGTTGTGTTTTTGTGCTTGTGTGCGTGTGCGTGTGTATGTGTGTGCGCACGCGCGTGCATGTGTGCGTGTGTGTGTGTTCTGACTTCGGACTGATTATGTCCAGCATCGCATGTGAAAACTGATTGATCAGGCAAGATACTCACGGGAATTCAGCAGCCATTGACTTCTACTTATACTAAAATAAGAAGAATGATTAATGGAAATAGAAAACAGTACTGCAATTTGAACTTTGACAATATCAAGCATTGTAATACTGGATATAAGATACAAAATAATATTTGCTACAGTATTTGAATGTGGTCTAGGCAGTAGTTGAGATGCATCAAAAAACTTTCTATTTTGCAATCTGTCTTCTTTAACTGAGACTCTCATTTCAGCACAGATTCAAGCTGACAACAAACATTTTATACAGTGCACACGAGGTGTAAGATTCATAATTTATTTCTTACAGAACATTTGCAACCAGCAAAGAGAGGGAGGGGAGATTAATTCCATTTCATACTATGGAAGAGTTTCTAGAAATGAAATCTTCACATTTTAACACAATGCACTGTTCAATGAGGGAAATCACTAGCTGTTTATACCATCTGTATTGATTTCTGCTAACTGAATGAATATTTTAAAACTGCAGAACATTAATGTAAATCTCCTTCGGTTATGTACTTCATCCTGTTTATTTCCCAGAGGAGAGATGTGGTCATCAGTAATACCATAGTGTTCATGCTGCTCTTTAACAAAGAAGGTCAGCAGAAAATCCTCCACGACTTTTTTAATCTGTTACCAAAGAAGTTAATCAAGATTAACCATTGTTCATTACTCATTAACCATACTTATAAACATTAGTCACAAAAAAAAGTAGAAGAGACTGGCAATAAATAAGGCTACATGTTTTTGTGAAGTTATTCAGTTATTTTCACAATAAAAGCTATTTGGACAGGCTAGGATACACAGGAATTCTGGAAAAAAATGATGGAGAACATTCCTTGCTGCTATAGCTAATTTGCATTGTTCCAAATGATGTTGTTGTGGACACACAGCTGAATAAACTGTAAGGATATGAATATGGACTTGGTTGGGTCTTCAGCTTTTAAAATTTATTGATAGTGAAAATACGCCAATTTTCAATAGCTAGTTTATTTTCAGTTAAGTGCTCAAATTTATTGCACAAACATACATAAATAATAAATAAGGGCATATGAAGATTTATGTACTATACAGGAGTAGTGTAGGAGATTTGCATGCCTTATGTGGAATGGTTTCTCATAGAGCATATGCTTTCCCACATATAGCAACCCTTGTATATAAATACAGGGAAGGGATATTTAGGGTGAAGAGTACTCAATGGCAGGTCCAGGGTGTCCTGTGGTCTGGGATATTCCTTGAGAAGTGTCTTGTGAGAATACATTTCAATTCATTACAATACTGTCAGCTCCCTGGCATAGGCCAAATTACATGTTGATGTCGGCTTAGTAACTCACCTAGAGACAGTAAATTGTAATCTCTAACTAAGCCACAGTTTCCTTCTGGGGTGAGTTGGGGATGGTGTTAACATGTTTTCACTGTGGACCCTCATTCCCTCCATGAAGGATCACGGGCCTTTCTCTGATCAGAATTCTGTCTTATGTGTAGTTATCTGCAAATGGTCACTCGAGAGGCTAGTGGTGAGGCCTGACAATTCATCATTAAGCAAGAATCACCACTGAACTGGGAATTAATGTGGTGCAGGGTCACAATATAAGTTATCAAATCATTCGGTTTATGGTACAATAAAAAGCAAACTCCTACAATTGTATACAAACTGGAAAACAGCAGGTCAGTCAACATCCAGAAAAAGAATACACAACATTTCCTCAGAACAGGTTTGGTTATCTGACCCATTGTTCATCAAGCTGTAATATCAATTGCTGCTTGCCTTCATTGGTCAGAACATTGAGTATAGGAGTTGGGACATCATCTTGCAGCTGTCCAGGACATTGGTGAGGGCACTTTTAGAATACTCCCTAAAATTCTGATTGCCCTTCTATAGGAAGGATGTTATAGAGTCACAGAGTCACACAGCATGGAAATAGACCCTTCAGTCCAACCAGTCCATGTCAACCATAATCACAAACTAAACTAGTCCCACCTGCCTACACTTGCCCATATCCCACCAAACATTTCTTATTCATGTACTTAACTCAATGTCTTTTAAATGCTGTAACTGTACCTGCATCCACCACTTCCTCTGGAAATTCATTCCACACATGAACCACACTCGTGTAAAAAAGTTGCCCCTCGTGTCTTTTCTAAATCTTTCGCAAGTCTTTTTAAAATCTTTTTTCTCTCATCTTAAAAATATGTCCCCAGTCGTGAAACCCCCACCCTAAAGAAAAGATACCTGCCATTCATTTTTTCTATAGCTCTCGTTATTTAATAAATCTCTATAAAGACACCTCTCAACCTCCTATGCTCCAGTGAAAAACAACCCAGCCTATATTGTTAAAATTGAAATGGTATAGAAAAGATGCTGCCAGGATTGGAGGGCTTGAGCTATAGGGAGAGACTGAATAGGCTGGGGCTTTTTCTCCTGTAGCACCGAAGGCTGAGACGTAATCTTACAGAGGTTTATAAAATTATAAGGGGCATGGATACAGTTAATAGCCAAGATCTTTTTCCTAGGGTTGGGGAGTCCAAAACTAGAGGTTATTAGGTTTAAGGTGAGGCAGTGGAAATCCATACAGACACAGGGAGAACGTGAAAACTCCATACAGTCACCCGAGGCCAGAATCAAACCCAGGAACCTGGCACTATGAGGCAGCAGTGCTAACCACTGAGCTACCGTACTGCCCATATTCAGCCATGTGAAGTTTCTTTATTATGCTTTGTTCACCACTCAAGAAAACTTAGGGTATTTCAAATATAGTTTAATTCTGGTGATATGGGCATAGAACATAGAACAGTACAGCACATTACAGGCCCTTCAGCCCACAATGTTGTGCCGACCTATTATCCTACTAAGATCAATCTACCCTGCAAACCCTACATTTTACTATCCTCTATGTGCCTATTCAAGAATCGCTTAAAAGCCTCTAAAGTATCTGACTCCACTACCACTGCCGGCAACGCATTCCACACGCCCACCACTCTCTGTGTAAAGAACCTACCTCTGACATCTCCTCTATACCTTCCTCCAATCACCTTAAACCCCTCGTAATAGTCATTTCCGCCCTGGGAAAAAGTCTCTGACTATCCACTCTATCTATGCTTCTCATCATCTTATACATCTCTATCAAGTCACGTCTCATCCTTCTTTGCTCCAATGAAAAAAGCCCTAGCTCCCTCAACCTTTCCTCATAAGACCTGCCCTCCAGTCCAGGCAGCATCCTGGTAAATCTCCTCTGCAACCTCTCTAAAGCTTCCAAATCTTTCCTATCATGAACTGAACACAATATTCCAAGTGTGGTCTAACCAGAGTTTTATAGAGCTGCAGCATAACCTCAAGGCTCTTAAACTCAATTCCCCTGCCAATGAAAGCCAACACACATCTAAAACATTATATATGCCTTCTTTACAAACCTATCAAATTGGGTAGCAACTTTGAGAGATCTATGGATGTGGACACCAAGATCCCTCTGTTCCTTCACACTGCCGAGAAACCTGGCAAGGCTTGTCATTTTGCCCATTCCTAATTGTTAAATGTTTATTAAATGCTTTAGGTGCAGAAATTAACGATCTTAGGCTTTGTAATAAATTCTCCCCTTATGTAAGGTGCATAGAACTATATAGTCCTCTGGACTCAAAAATTAACTCTGCTTTCTCTCCACAGATGCTGCCAGACCTGCTGAATTTCTCCAACAATTTCTGTTATTGTGTGCTATAAATCAAGCATTTCTGGTGTCCAAATCCTCCAGATCAAAGAGATAGGCAATTACCAAGCATAAACTCTATAAGGACAAGCAATGTTTTCTTTTTAAGAACATAAGAAATAGCAATAGTAGACCATAGAGCCTCTCAAACCTGCTCTGCCACTCAATATGCCTGCCTCAGTTCCATTGTTCTGCCTACTCCCCAATTCCTTTGACACCCTGAAAGATCAGAAATGTATGGAGGGCAGACAATCATTGCCAAGCCAAGATTGCTTGCTGAACCCATATAGAACTAATATTTATAAACATAATCACTTGTTTGGTCTTACATAAAGTGTGTAGCATTTTTGCAGCATGGGCAGAGGCCTTCACTAGCAAGAAGGGAACCATTGGTTGAGGAAATTTATTTAAAATCCTAGAAATGCTGCTAGATATTTTCCTAATTGTTCTTTTGAAACAGAATGATCAGCTCAGAGACACAGTGAAAACAATCCCACTACCATCTGATTTCAATCTTTTTGCATGTTATTAACATGAGCAGTCCACTGCCTCCTCAGGTGTAGAAACTCCAAAAGAAATTCCCATAGAATGCAAATTGTAGTCTCCACCTCTGATACATTATGAATATGTATTTCCAGTGCAAAGTAAGAAAGATGAATCTTTTGCCAATGTGGCTAATTGGAAGGACAACAAAGCTAAGATCCGATGCAAATTCAGAGCAAGCAGTTGGTGCTGAAAAATGACAACACTGTGAATCTATCAACCTGAACAAAATCCAGAAGATCAGGTAATTCAGAATCAAGGATTCACTGCAGTCAACTTGGGGGACAGACACCGGCTATGGAGTGACATTGACAAGTTTTTTCTAAATTTAATTGTGGAATATGGGTGTCAATGAAAAGAACAGCATCTTGTGCCCATCTCTAGTTGCCCTGGAATGTGCTGAAGATATTTAACATACTAGATGGCTCACTAGGCCAATTCAGACTAGTTGCTTGAACTTAGTTCCCAGTAGGACTGCAGTCACAGCCACGCTAGGCCGAGTAAGGATGGCTTAAAAAACATTCGATAACCTGGCAAAATTTTAGCAGTTGTTTTTATTTTGTAAACTGAGTTTAAAAAATTCAAATTGCCACATAATTGACCTCATGTTCCGTGAATTATTAATCCATGCCTTTGGATTAAGTAACATAGCAACTAGACCACTGTAACATACACACCTCTCGTATCGCCAGGAGATATCCTGGGTGGTAGGTACAGGGATATAGGAGCAGGAGTTCGCCATTCGAGCCTGCTCCATTGTTTGATGATGGTTGATCAAACATGGCTTTTACTCACATTATCTCCATAATTCTTTATGCTACTGATAATTGGAAATTTATGAACCCCACTTTAGAGATTCTCAAACATTGAGTTTCCACAGCCTCGGGGATACAGAGTTAAAAAGATTCACCACTCTCTGAGAAAAACTATTTGTCTTTATTTCAGACCTAAATGGCATCCCCTTCATTTTTAAAGTGTGCTCACTGTCTCTAGACCCCAACAAGTGGAAACAATTTATCTGCTTCTACTCTATTACACAACTGTTCATCACCTATTTATTGGTAGAGAGTCAACACCACCTTCTTACACACATAACTATGTAGAAAAATGTGCGGAACAGTAATACCACAGTGGAATCAGAGAACCTCAGATCATCTTATTAGGAGATTCCATACTGACAAGGAAACCCTAATGTCTTTTCCTTCACAGAGAAAATAGATGGTCCAAATGAAAAGTACTACAAGTTGTTCTTTGGTGAAGGAATTTGCCTCAACCAATTACTGGAAAGAATCCACTGGAAAGAACTCCAGGAGCTCCTTGAAATGTTTTTACTGGGGAAAAAAAAATGTATTGCCATTGTTCCACCGTAACGTCCCCCCCATCAGTGGTCGAGAACGCCTTCAACCGTGTCTCCCACATCTTCCGCAACTCATCCCTCACACCCGTTAACGCAATAAGAACCAAAAAAGAATCCCCCTCATCCTCACGTACCACCCCACCAACCTCCGGATCCAACGCATCATCCTCCGACACTTCCGCCATCTGCAATCTGACCCCACCACCAAAGACATCTTTCCCTCCCCACCCTTATCTGCTTTCCGGAGGGACCACTCTCTCCGTGACTCCCTTGTCCGCTCCACACTCCCCTCCAGCCCCACCACACCCAGCACTTTTCCCTGTAACCGCAGGAAGTGCTACACCTGCCCCCACACCTCCTCCCTCACCCCCATCCCAGGCCCCAAGAAGACTTTCCACATGAAGCAGATGTTCACCTGCACATCTGCCAATGTGGTATACTGCATCCGCTGTACCCGGTGTGGCTTCCTCTACATCGGGGAAACCAAGCGGAGGCTCGGGGACCGCTTTGCAGAACACCTACGCTTGGTTCGCAATAAACAACTGCACCTCCCAATCGCGAACCATTTCAACTCCCCCTCCCATTCCTCAGACGACATGTCCATCCTGGGCCTCCTGCAGTGCCACAACGATGCCACCCGAAGGTTGCAGGAACAGCAACTCATATTCCGCTTGGGAACCCTGCAGCCCAATGGTATCAATGTGGATTTCACAAGCTTCAAAATCTCCCCTCCCCCTACCGCATCCCAAAACCAGTCCAGCTCGTCCCAGTTCTTCCTCCCACCTATCCCCTCCTCCCACCTCAAGCCGCACCCCCACCTCCTACCGACTAACCTCATCCCGCCCCCTTGACCTGTCCGTCCTCCCTGGACTGACCTATCCCCTCCCTACCTCCCCACCTACACTCACCTTTACTGGCTCCATCCCCGCCTCTTCGACCTGTTTGTTTCCTCTCCACCTATCCTCTCCTCTATCCATCTTCTATCCGCCTCCCACTCTCTCCCTATTTATTTCAGAACCCCCTTCCCCTCCCCCTTTTCTGATGAAGGGTCAAGGCCCGAAACGTCAGCCTTTCTGCTCCTATGATGCTGCTTGGCCTGCTGTGTTCATCCAGCCCTGCACCTTGCTGTCTCGGATTCTCCAGCATCTGCAGTTCCTACTATCTCTGATTCAGTTTATAAGGACAACAGCTCAGATACATTCTCAGAAGCAACCTGTAAAAAACACCAATAAGTAACCATATTCTCAGACACTGAAATGACATGACCAGTACAGACTCCCACCTTGCTTCAAATGGTGATATTTTCTCCTTTAAACAAAGCTTTAACCTTAAATTCATTAGCTGTACTTGTGGAAGAGTTAATGAATACACCAAATACTCTATGGTTATGGGAAGCTATGTGGGCCAATGAGTTTGTCAGAGCCATGTAATTACAGTTTAATTGCACAAGAAATTCTTTTGTGTCTTTGAAGTGTTAAATGCATTTTTTGTGAAAAAAGTTTATAACCACTTAGACAAGCAACAAAGGAGGGCCAGTATGGATTTGTTAAGGTAAAATAGTTTTTCACTCACTTGATTGAGTTTTTTTTGTGAGGTACTGGAAAAGGTTAGGTAAGGGCATTGCTGCTGAATTTCCGAAAGATATTTGATAAAGTAACACATACTCGATTTGTTCTCATAATTTAAGCTCCTTCAATCAAGGCAGTAGCAGCATGGATCAGCTAACAAAGCATACGGGATTCTAGTGTTTATAACTTGAGACATGAAAAGTACAAATCTAGGACGTTGTGCAAACCTGTATAAAGCACGCTTTTGGTCCCTGCTGGAATGTTCTGTCCATATTTGGATAGAACATTTTAGGAAGCAGAGGAATGTTTTTGGAGAGGGTATAAGAGAGATTTACTATGTGCTGAATCTTATATTTGTTTGGCTGAGACCAAGTTGCATTGAGTCTTTTTGGATGGATTTCCGCCCCGAGGCCTAGTGAGATTTCTCACTGTATCTTACCAAAGTCATCTCATTAATGACCTATCCCACCCCTATAATGTCCCTCATGTCCAACGTGAGCCCATCTTACCGTGTGTTGCCCTCACACAAAAAAAGGGGCAGCACAGTGGCTCAGTGATTAGCATTGCTGCCTCACAGCACGAGGGACCCAAGTTCAATTCCAGCCTTGGGTGACTATCTGTGTGGAGTTCGCACATTCTCTACATGTCTGTGCGGGTTTCCTCCGGGTGCTCCAGTTTCCTCCCACAGTCCAAAGATGTGCAGGTTAAATGGATTGGCAATGCTAAATTGCCCATAGTGTTCAGAGATGTGTAGGCTAGATGGATTAGCCATAGGAATTGCAGGGTTACAGGGATGGGTGGGTCTGGGTGGGATGCTCTTCAGATGGTCATTTTGGATTCAATGGGTTGAATGGCCTGCTTCTACACTGGAGGGAATCCATGACAACACTCAGTGGGTATCCTGGAATTCACCAGCATTCCTTGCACCAATGTCACTTTCAAACGCCCATTGTGAACATGGACAAGTACTGTCAGTATGGAGCTGCTCTGAATGATTGCTGGCATTTGCCCTGGACATGGCAGGTGGGGGAAGTTGGTCCCCCGATGTGCTGGCAGGGGCTGCAGGTATTCCTGGACGGAATGGTGCAGAGGCAGGGCCTCCTCAGGCTAGCAGAAGGGCCACAACACTAGGTCATGCCAGGCTAGTCTGAATTTGCAAGCTAGGTTAGAGGAATGCTCAGCAATATAGAAAGACCGTCAATGACCTTTTCCACTCTGCCAGCATAACTGCCAACATCTTATCTCCAATGCCTCACGGTATCTCTGCTATTGGAGCCACCTCTCACCAAGTTCATGCTCTACCACTCTCACTAATGCATGCCATCTCTTCCTTCACTTGATATCACTCAACTCAACCACTGGCACCATATACACAAGCTCTCAGTGCTGCCTAATCACTTGGTCAGGACAACTCCCCACCTATACCAAAAGTAACAGCTATGCCACCCACATTCATCTCCTTTAATATCTGGCTCTCTCTCATTCCAGGTGAAAAACAGCCCACAGGGCAGAATGATTCAAGACAAGTGGTGGACTGTGCAACATTCACCTTGTCAACCTTTATGTAAAGAAAGGCAAGACAGAAGTAATACGAAGCTCAAAGCTCTCGCTGAATAGGGTCGGTGTAAGTGTGTGCCATGACATTGAGCTCAGAGATGGATCCTAGTCCAGACCGTGAGCTGGGTGCATGTCCCTGAGCACACAATACCTTTACTGCAGCATTACAAAGAGAGTTTATATGCCCGAGGTGTGGCATTGAAGTGCAGAAGCATCCTATAAGTGGGTCGGAAATATGCCATGAGGGTTCTTGGGGGCTGGAACAAATTGATGCCAATACACATGGAAATGGTGTATCTGTGGCTGCTGCCTGTGGACTATTCCAAATGTCCAACACTGAGGACCTTCGGAGCCAGCAACAATCTGCATTTGCCAATTAACCCCATCCTAGTTTCTTTGTCGCGTTTTCTCATCATCTCCCTTGTTTGTGAGGTGGATAGGATAAAAAGCTGATTATTAATGAGATGAGTTGGGCCATCAACAATACGATTACCAAACTGTAATTCCCCCTTAATTCACAACTCTTCACTGCCTAACAAGAAATGTGCTCCTCCTGAAAAACATAAAAGATGGACGAGAGGCTCCTGTTACGGAGATCAGCATTACTGGATTTCTCATCCAATTCTGCCACAAATTCTGCTCATGTTCCACCCAGAGAAAAGGAATTACAGCAAACATTTTATTAACTGCCCCTATGGAACCAGGAATGCGTCGGTTGATCAAATATTCCGGTTGATCAAGAGATCCACATAATCAATGTAAAAATGCACACTAAAAATAGAAATGTAATTCAGGGGTATACACATCACTGTTCTACTTTATTTACAGAATAAATCACTTAAATAATTATGCAGCTTTGCCTTAAATAGAACTTACCAGCAGAGAGCCTTCTCACTGGCACCCTCAGCTGACTGCTCAGACATCACACAGATCGCAATTATACAGTAAACTTCCGGTATTTCAGGAATGTAACTCTTGCTGGTTTATAAAGAGTGCTGGTTCATAAGGTTTCAATTAAAATAAAGTTTGCTATACAGTTATGTGGACAGATGAAGCTGGGGTTCTTTTCTTTACAGCAGGAAAAGCAGGGATAAGATCATGTATCTAAAATCATGATGGACATAGAAATTGTAAATAAACTATTAACAAAAGGGTCAATAACCAGAGGGCAGATCATTGAGGTGATTGGTAAACGACCTGGAGCCAACTTGAAAAGACTCTATTACACAACACATTGTCAGATTTGGGAACGTACTGCCTAATTGAGCAGTCTGCACACAGTCAGTTGTAGTCTTCAAAAGAAAATTGGATAAATGTTTGATGAAGAACAAATTGCAGACAGAGGTACGGAGAAAGAGCAGGGAAATGGGACTAATTGGATTGACCTTCGAAAGAGCCAGCACAGACCTGACGGACCAAATGACCTCTTTCCGAGCTGTACTGTTCTATTATTTACATAGACTCTGTAGACAATGTGTCTGATTATTCTCAGAGCCAAGCTATTTGATATGGAAATCAGGCATCAAAAGTAACTGAACCCTACTAGAATTTCCTGAACTCAGCTGTTCACATTGTGTCTATACAGCAAAAACTGATCAATGTGGTTAACTGTCTGGTGGAGAAAGACCTTATTTGGCCTCAAGTATTTAAGGAAATTTTGCAGTGACATACTTGCTGCAGTTTGCCAATTAGTGAAGTTGCATCAGTGAGAGCTAGGATAAATTGGTAATTCATCAAGAGTCTATTTAAAAGGTGTATAAAGCCTATTATTTTTAGGATCCATTAAAGTTTTGTGTAATTTAAGCATTATAGTCTGAATTTTAAGTCCACTTGACTGATGGGGCAGTTAATACAGTGTTAAAGTTCCCATTCCACTGACATATATCTATCCAACATCATTTTCACTAGGCTTTTTTTTAGAGTTAGCAGACAGGAGACTTGTGTGCCCTGTAACAGACCTAGAACCTCAACAATTTTAACAGAGCTTACCCTGAACAATGCAGGTTTGGAGTCAGGATAAGCCAAGAAAATAAGACAATATGAAATAGGGACAACAGTAGGCTATTCAGCCCCTCAATCCTGCTCTGCCATTCAATAGGATCATGGATGATCCAACACTCCTCACGTTCCTTTTCCTGCCCTTTCCTCATAACTCTTGATTCTCCTATTGATCAAGAATTTATCTCAGCCTTAAGTATACACAAAGACTCTGCCCCCCACTCACAAACTTTGGAGAGAAGAAATTCCTTCTCATCTCAATCTTAAATTGGTGCACTGTAATTCTGAGGCTATGCATTCTGATCCTAAACTCTACCATGAAGAGAAACATCTTCCCTGCATTTAACCCGTCAAGACCTGTATGAATCTGTTATGTTTCAATGAAATTACTTCTTATTATTCCGAACTCCAACGAATAAAGTCCCAATCTGTTTAACATTTACTCACAAAACAATACATCCATATCAAGTTCATCCTAGTGAATCTTCTTAACTTAAGAACATAAAAGCATTTTTCTTTTCTAGTGGACTAGCAGGAACTTCTGTCTTCTGACCAAAATGCCCTTGTAATTCTGCCCTGACTCTTGGGATCCATGCCTTTGGTTCCCTAGCACCTGTTTCCTGCAGGTCAGAATCCAACTTGTAGGCCAGTTAGCTTTTTATTGTAGGCTCAGGCTAGAAACTGACGAAACCTATTCAGGCCTGCTGTTAGAATATCTTTGTTCTCATAGAAATCTAGATGGCTTCCTATCCATCTCAGTCTCCATTCTCAGAGAATTCCTGCTTGGACTTAATTCAGTGTTAATTAGTCTTCAATTTTAGTATTTTAGAATTATAGAGTCAAACAGCATGGAAACAGACCCTTTGGTCCAACTCATCTGCGCTGATCGGACATTACAATCTGACCTGGTTCCATTTGCCAGCATTTGGTCCATATCCCTCTAAACCCTTCCTATTCATATACCCATCCAAATGCCTTGATGGCATTTCGTTGGACTGTTAGGTCAGAATCCCAGGTTGGAATTCTGTTATGGCAGATAGTGGAATTTGTTGAAGACCATGAAACTATTGCTGATTGTTAGAAAACTCCATGGGAGGGAGTGGGGGCGGGGGGGAGCCGGGGGGCGGCATGGCGGTTCAGTTGGTAGCACTGCTGTCTCACAGCACCAGAGACCGGATTTGATTCCACCCTTGGGCAACTGTCTGTGTGGAGTTTGCATGTTCTCCTCGTGTGTCCCCTCTGGGTGCTCTGGTTTCCTCCCACAGTCTAAAGATGCACAGGTTAGGTAGATTGGTAATGCTAAATTGCTCGTAGTGCCCAGGGATATGTAGGCTAGGTGGGTTAGCCATGGGAAAGGCAGGGTTACAGGGGTGGGTCTGGGTGGAATGCTCTTCAAAGGGTTGGTGTGGATTCAATGGGCCGAAAGGCCTGCTTCCACCCTGTAGGGATTCAATGATTGTATGAAATGTTGTAATTGTATCCACTTCTACCACTTCCTCTGTCAGCTTATTCCATACACACACCATCCTCTGCATGAAAAGGTTACTTTTCAGGTCCTTTTTAAAACTTTCCCCTTTACACCTTAAACCTATGCCCTCTAGTTTTGGAATCCCCTACCCTGGGTAAAAGATCTTGGTATTCACCCCATCCATGCCCGTCCTGATTTTATACCCCTCTATAAGGTCTCACCTCAGTCTCCAATGTTCCAGGGAAGAAAGCTCCAGCCTATTCAGCCTTTCCCAATAACTCAAACCCTCCGTGTACATCTTTTCTGCCCCCTCTTAAGTTTAACAACATCCTTCCGATAGAAGGGCAACCAGAACTGTACACAGTACTCCAAAAGTGGCCCTCTCAATGTCCTGTACAGCTGCAAAATGACATCCCAACTCCTATACTCAATGCTCTGTCCAATGAAGGCAGTGTGTCAAATGCCTTCTTCACCGCCCTGTCTACCTGTGACGCCACTTTCAAGGAACTATGTGCCTGAAGCGCTAGGTCTCTCTATTCGACAACACTCCCCAGGGCCCTACCATTAACTGTGTAAGTCCTGCCCTGGTTTGTCTTCCCAAAATGCAACAGCTCACATTTATCTAAATTAAACGCCATACGCAACTCCTCAGTCCATTGGCCCAGCTGATCAAGATCCCATTGTACTCTTAGATAACTCACTGGGTGCTCAAATTTTTCTTTAAACATTTATGGTCTCTAATGAGTTTGTAATAGGAGACATTGAGACAGACCCCAATGAAGGAACCACTTTGGCTTCACAGTGCTTTAACTATTAAAGGGTAACATTTAGTCCTGTAACACACACAAACACACTGACACATATGGGTACTAGGGAAGAGGCTCATTACCTGATTGAAATTACTTTGTGCTTAACCTCTCTGAAGAGCAGAGGAAAAAGCTCAGATTGTAACAGTAGTACATGTTCCCAGCTACTCACTTTTTAAAATGTGTTAGTGGGATGTAGGTGTCACTGGCTAAACCAGCATTTATTGCCCATCCCTAATTGTCCTTGAACTGACTAGCTTGCTAGTCAATTTTGGAGTTAACCACATTTCTGTGGGTCTGAAGTCACGTGTAGGCCACGGATCAGGTTAGGATGGCAGATTTGCTTCCAAAGTGAATATGGGTTTTTATGATGAAAGCTGCTGCTACCATCCCTTTAACTGTCGGAAACTATTGAGGTAAAGGAAAACTATATTCTGGTCCCAGTACTTTTGTGGTTAACAGGTATAATTTATCACATGGTAGCAACTACAATAGTTAAAGTTTACCTTGATATACTAGACATTGTTGCGGACAGTTTAAGAACGACAAGATGTTAGGCCTCACTCCTTAAGGATCCTAAACTGTTCCGCTCAGAAGTCCGTATGTTATTATGACAGTGGGTGGTGCCTATGGCATTCCTCAGTATTAGCCCTTTCATAAGATTTCGGACACACAGACATCTCCCCTAAGCTTTTGTTCTAATTATTAATGTACATTTACCATCTATGTAGATATTTTAGGCAGCGAATTATGCTGCCCTGCTGAGAGAAGAAGGTAACATTGTGGGGATTCAATTTGACTAAACAGTTTGAAAGAAATGCCCCAAACTAAAATGAAACATGAATGCTGTACTTCAATGGAGCTGGACATTGTTATATAAGAGGTTATGTACACTGTATACAGATCTGAAACATGATACAATCTGAGGGAATCTCTTGGTACTGAATCACTTCATTCTATTTGTTGCCATTCTATGTTGCCAACATACCTACCCAGCTGCATGTGGTTCTGCAACGTGTGCTGTTCACGTTTATTGCAATTCTGCAGGCAGTTTGTCACTGTAAAAAGATTTTGGAGCATTGGTCCTATGATCAAAGGCAATGTGTATAGTTAAAGGGACAAGAGTTCAGGCAAGGGGGTACCTGCTGGAGGCCACCTCACTGTCATTGTTTCAAAACGTGCTGCTTCCTCTTCCTGCAACTCCCAACCCAAAAAAGCCCAATCACATCATTCCCCATTTTCCTGGGTCGCACTGTGATTCCGGGAGTCCGCATGTGCTCTCCTGCCAGTAGTCTTGGCCTTGTCTTGGCGCTGCAGAGTGCAAGAGCTGCCAGCCTCTGATTGGCAGTTCTTTCTGGGTTGGACTTTGGCACAGGCTCTTGATTCTAAAGGAAAGCTTGTCGGTGTCTTTACCACTGCCTGATTGGTGTGTGGTTTAAGGTATCCCCCAGAAGAGCCAGCTGGGTTTCTTATTGACTGTCCAGCAGGCAGGTGAGATGACTAACACTTCAACAAGATTCCATTCGATGAAATCAAGCTAGAACCCCTGTAATTACCACTAACATGTAGCATCTATAATAGACTAAGTGGTGTGCATCTAAAAGGATCTATTTCTTAAATCAAAATCTTCTGCACTGTGTTGTTTAACTTTATTTAACCATCTCAAACTTTCACTTTGTAGATCCACTGACAATAAGCTAGATCATAAGGTAGGA